GGTATCACTTATATTTGTATCCATATAACAAAAAAAATTGAAAAGAGAATAATTTTGCAATACCTTTTTCATATTGAATACTATAACTTTTTTGATATTTAGACATATTAAGTAGATTTTCATAATACCCACTTGACATGCTTGAAATTCTATCAGATTACTTTTGGAGCAGTTATGAGTCTTTGAAGCATGCTCACAAAGGTTTTTTTGTTGATATTGTTTTCATATTGGTCAAAACTTTTTTTTGCTTCGGCCAGCTTTGGAGGAGATGTTATCAAAGAATTGATAAAAAACAACACAGAAGTTTACTTTCTAGCTCATCTAGCCCCAAGCATCATGTCAGGCATTTTCATTACTAAAAACCAATAAATGTCTTCTAATCTGAGAAACAATTTCGACATTTTAACAAAATATTTTACTAATGATACTGACAATCCACCACAAAGTAATATAAATAGAACCATACAAATAGTGAGCAAATACATATAAAAAAGATGTGGTATGATTGCCAATGAGACAATTCTCCACAACAGACCAAAATGACACAGAAATTAACAACTACGGGTCACCGTTCAGCCTTCAACAATGAGCAAAGCCCATAACGCATAGTCATTTATGTTATTTATGTACACAAAATAAACGAAAAACAAATATTATGTAACACATAGACAAACGACAACCACTGAATTGCAGCCTCCTGATATCATGTTCTCAGATATCATCTCCCATTTTAAAAAAAATCACATGAAAAAATGAACCTATTATGTGTTGCTCTCCTAGCTACAAAATTTATCCAAAATCAAAGATGTGGAAAATATTCTATCATAATCATTTGGTCATTAATGCAATTAGTGTCTCTTTCATGCCCTCTTGAACATAAATCTAAATATTAAATAAACAACACTCCTCATGCTCAGGTTGGTTGTCATCGTGCAACACAGTTAATAACACCATATAGGAAAAACATAGAACTCCTTTTGTCATATAAAACACTGTCAAACATCCAAACATACTATCCACATTCATCTGTGTCCACACTTGTATTTTTATAAAATATAAAGGGCGGTGAAAAATCATAATTGTCATAATTTTCATCTGACAAAAACGGTTTTCTCTGGTTAATGGCGGACTTCCAGAGTCTTTACATACAGATTTACTAGTGTTTTTTTAAGTCTAAGAAAGGGTTGATACCATTAAATCATCGTGACCTTGTAAAATCTTTAGGATTTAAAAAAAAACAAGACTCAACGCTAATTATCCAGGACAGAAACAGACTCGTAAATAAATGCTGAGAACCTTTGCATACTATTGACAGAGATTCATATGTAATCAACTGAAAGAATAAGATTATGAAATTAATATTCGGTTGTGTTGCTCATACATAAGAATGTTTTATTTTCATGCAAAAAAGAACGAATATTTCGTGTTGAATACACAGTGGCAGTATTTCATGCATATTCAGGACGAAAACAAAATACGTCAATTCTTCAAGGCTGCTAGCACAAATATAAACTGCCACTTTTGAGAGAGGATGTGCGAGATACGGGGCAGAAATGTTGCCTTACAATAGGCAGAGACATATACATATTATATGTCTCTGCAACAGGCCACCAATAATTACAGACATCTTCAGGAGAAATTACAAGGCCATGATTCTTTAACGTGCAGAGATGGATAAATACCCTGTCACGTCCGGTCTGTAAAGATATGTGATGTTTTTCTGCTTTGTATCAATCTGACGAGTAATTTAAGCCTTTTTCAACTGATTTTTATAGTTTGTTCTTATGTTGTGCTGTTACACCACTGTCCCAGGTTAGGGGGGGATTGAGCGCTCACAAACATGTTCAACCCCGCCACATTCTTTGTGTGCCTGTCCCAAGTCAGGAGCCTGTAGTTCAGTGGTTTTCGTTGGTTCATGTCGGTCATATTTGTTTTCGTTAATTGTTTTGTTATAAATTATGCCGTTAGTTTTCTCAATTGAATTGTTTCATATTTGTCATGTCGGGGTCAATCAAGTTATAGCCGACTATACGGTATGGGTTTTTCTCATTGTTGAAGGCCATACTGTTGCCTTCAATTGCTTACATCCACTTTATTTGAACTTTGGTGTATGATTGTCGCATTGGCAATCATACCTCATCTCCCTATTTTTATAGAGTGGGGCATTCGCCCGCATGAGGCATTGGATTTAACGTTTCCATTCCGATCGGACGTGGCTGCCTATCTATACATCCAGCATAGCATATAAAGTCAGAGATTTAAATGAAATTTGAGGAAGGTGAAGAGTAGGCCACGTTAAAATGCGACCTTGCGGAACTATAACTTTTGACCGAAAACAATCTATCAAATATAGAACTGTTCAAAGGTTGGTATGTCAACGTATATTTGTTCCGCCTAACAGAAGTTCCACTGGAAACTTTGTTATAAACAATGTCATAATATCTATTCCTGTTGGAACAAATATTCTATACCATTTATTCCGTTAGGAACATATACTGTAATATTTATTCCTGTGGAAATAATATTCCAGAATATTTTTTCCTTTTGGAACTTATATTATGAAGGAACTTCTATTCCGTGACAGGTACGTACACAATAGGACGTTATCGAAGTTACTCAATACAGACGCCCGAAATAGGATTTCTTTCTTGAAAGTGTGGTTTTTTTTGCCAATCATTGACTTAATATATGATCAGACATATTCATTCAGTATTTCTTATACGATCGAAAAAAAATTGCTGGAGAATGGTATGGCGATGTCGTCGTCGTCCAAAGACATTTGGTTTCCAGATAATAACGAGTATAAGTGAATGGATCTCTATGAAATTGGAATCCGGGTCCGTTCGCACCCTTTTTATCGGTTTTGAGTTGAATACATTTTTAATCGTGTTTAAGTTAGTGTTTTGCTATAAATAAGTTTTTTTTATTGTTTCCTCAAGTCACATTCTTAAAACGTACACGGGTTTCCTTTAGTGTTTTATTAATTATTTTGACGAAATGAATCATGAATAAAAGATTGTCATGAAGATTAGGCAAAGTTCATCTTGTATTAAAAAGAAAGTCAGAAGATACCAAATCTTCATTGAGTACTTATACCAAGCTAGCTACATGCAGTATTTACACCAAAGCTAGTTATAACAACAATCATGATTTTCAAACGCAGAACAATGATACCAAATTTGGCTTTGTAAATAACAATTAACAGCTAGTTATCATACATAATTAACATTTAATAATTCATCATCAAATCACAAAAAAAAAATTATTTAAAAACTCTGAATTTTTAGTAATTAAAATTTCAATATTTTGTCTAAATTTTAAAACATCTGATATTCAACCAGTATTTAAAAATAACAGAGCGAACGAACCCAGGGGGCGAACGTGTGGGGTGCGAACTGACCCGATACCATGAAATTGTACCACAAGATTATATACTTCAAAAGGAAGATTGGGGTTGATTTTGAGGGTAATGGCCCAAACCGTTAGGGAATTAAAAGGACAAAAAGGGTCCAAAAACAAGGATTTTCTGGTTTCCAGACATTATCTTGAGCACAAGTCTATGGATCTCTATGAAATTGTACCACAAGGTTCCATACCAAAACAGAAAGTTGGGATTGATTTTGGGAATTATGGCCTTGACCTTTTATGACTGATAAGGGGCCAAAAACAATACTTTTCTGATACTTTGCTTACTGTCAATTCAGAGATGATTGCGAAGTTTTTATTAATTTGAATAATGCAACTGGTTGAGTATTGCAATAAATAGAACTTGCATTCTTATATCTGATACAAAGATGTGTATGCAAATTTTCCTGAAATCGCAATAGTCAATCTCGCTTTTTTGTCCTTTTTAAAAAAAACGCAATATAAATGGACGCAATAATTTCTGAATTTACAGTATTTCTTGAATAATGTCAATTCAAAGTCTTGAATATCAGGTCTTTAATATGCTGAATGCAACCATGTATTTAGATTTTGAATTTTGGGTACCGTTTGAGATCCACATCGAGATCCAAATGGTCCAAAATTAGACTGTTTGATTTCATAAAAAAAATGAATAACTGGAGTTGTATGATATGCCAAATCTAACCGTGTATTTAGATTTTTAATTTTGGGCCCCATTTACAAATTGGTCCACATTAAGGTCCAAAGGGTCCAAAATGAAACTGTGTTTGATTTCAACAAAAATTGAATATGTTGGGTTCTTTGATATGCTGAATCTAACCATGTATTTAGATTTTGGATTTTGGGTCCACTATCAAACTATTTTAAAAACGCCGGCACCTTCAATGGACACACCATGTTCCATTGTGCCAACATACAAAACTTTTAATGACGTCTGTAAACTGATGAAAGTCTAATGGATGCCTTGTAAAACAGTACACTGGTACTTCTCAAATAAAAATTATTATAAAATTTTGTTTATTATAAATCAAAATACAATGTACAATAATATCATGCATATATAAATAATGAAAACATATTTATGCTGTAAATTCAAAAACAATTTGCAAGATTTATTGCTTGGGAGTGTTAAACATTGGACAAAAAGGTTAAATTAATTATTGTCATTTAAGGATGTTGCAAATAAATAATGCTTTCAACATTTAAAATATAACAACACTGAGGTTGTGAGTTCGAACCCCGCTCGTGCGGGTGCACTCGACTCCAATCTTAATTGACTAGGATTGTCAGTTTTCCTATGGAAGGTCGGTGGTTTTCTCCGGGCACTCTGGCTTCCTCCACCAATAAAAACTGGCCGCCACAAAATAGCCCAAAAGCAGTGCTTAAAAGTGGCGTTAAAACACCAAAAATCAAATCAAATCAAAATCAAATTCAAAATATAATTTTTTTTTTGGCCAAATCTATCCGGCTGTTTTCAGTAAATAAATTTTTATCAAAAATCTGTTAATTTTCAGTAATTGGAAAATAAATAACAGCATTAAAAAACCAAAATTTGTGAATTTACAGTAAATGGAAAATAAATAACAGCATTTAAAAAAAATTGTGAATTTACAGCAATTGGAAAAAAATAACAGCATTAAAAAAATTATCATTTGGCTCTCAGAATTATCATTTAAGGATTTTATTAAACAAAAAAGCAATATATATGTGGTTTGCATGATTATTATTGTCCACTTGATTGACCACACAAGGCAGCAGCAGGAACACACCTGTAAAAGAAATAAAATTATATTTCATTTGTTGACAATTCATAGTAATTAAGTAACATCAAAATATATGAATTAGGTAATGTTTAAATATTTGAGTAGCAATTTTCCTTTTAAATAGACAGATATTGTTGTATGTAAAAATACTTGTTTTCTATTCAAAATCTAATGATTTACCAAAAAATATTGCAATAGAAATCATGCAGCTAAATTTGTTATGAAATGGAAAGCCATCTTAATATACCAATTTTGATTTTCAAGGTATTAAAATCACTATTACTGATATCGCATTAATCATTCATTGAGTGTCAGACAAGCGCAAAAGCTATTAAGCTGAAAATTTGAAAAATTTACATACATGATAAAATTATTCTGTCTATTTTGATCAACTTTCATTGTTTGGTTCAAGTTTTATGACATTTACTTTGTTTTCTGCATATATTGACTGAAGAAATGAATTCTTTGGAAATTTGTATTGAAAGAATTACAGAACTGAATAAGATGCAAAGTTTAATATAATTAAGACATCTCATCTTTGTGACAGCACTTGCCATTTCATTGCAAATGATTGTGAGGTTATCTCCCCTTTTCAAGTAAACACAATTCTTTATTATCATAAAAACAATAATTCTCTTTTTGATTCAGTACATGGTCATTAGGTAAAAATTGAAAGATGAAATAAGAGAAAGAAGTTAAAAAGGACTATAAACCTTCTGTACTATAAAAACATCTGATTTACATCTATTAAGGTTACAGTAGAAAATATAAAGATGAAATATAATTGCAAACAATAAAGATTTATAGAAATATAAACTGTCCATAAGATTACATCAATTAATTAAATTTGTATGTGGACGAATAAATATATTCTCACCTTGAAACAGATCCAAATGCTACCCCAGTCTGTATCCCTAAGGACAAGCTGTGATGCTAACCTGTAATACAAAGTGAAATCAGTTATTTAAACTCTTCAAAATAATCTACTGTGGATTCATTTAATTTCATGAGGATTAAGGAAAAATTGGATTCTGTGGATATTTGATTGAAAGTTGATAGAAAATTGGTACTTTGTTGAACATTTAAATTTGTGGTTCACTATTACTCACGAAATCCTGGGTATTCAGTTTAAAACTTGACAAATAGAAAAAACGTCAAAAACAATTTCTCTTTCTAAGTTTAGCAGTATTTTTACTATTTTGGACAATTATGTACCCTCTTTCCTCTGGAGCTGAATATCTCCATGTAATTTAATCTTTTCTGATACCTGTCCCATTATTAAATTGACATCATACACTTTTAGATAAAAAAGTTTGCATACCTACCAACATGTTAGCAGTATCAGATCTCCAATTCTTACTCCCAACACCATGAAATCATTGTCATTACACCAGCCTATAAACAAATAATAAAAAAAATATACTTGTTTGAAATATTCCTTTTACAGATCAATCCAAGCATGATAGATTTCTTTAAAAAAAATTTGTAAGGGTTCCGCGGAACCCAGTGTCTCGCCTACTTTTTCTGTTAATCGCAGGCTCAACAAAAATGAGGAAGTAAATCAATAAAAATATTCCTCTTGATACTATCTTTAGATTGTAAGAAGCTTCTGTCCAAGTTTGGTAAAAATCCAGGATAGTTTATGAATCTAATAAATGTTTAAAAACTTAAACTTCAGACTGAATGTAATGTTAACTGGAAGAAAACAAAATTTCCTTCTAGATACTAGCATTAGATCATAAACAAGCTTCTGTCCAAGTTTGGTACAAATCCAAAATAGTATAAGAAAGTTATTAAAATTTTAAAAACTTTAACCACAGAGTGAATGTGTTGTTTCCTGGCAGAAAATCTAAGTCCATTTAAAAGTAAAATACGGAAAAAATGGATTTATTTTTTTACAAAATTTCCTTCTAGATTCTAGCTTTTGATCATAAACAAGCTTCTGTCCAAGTTTGGTACAAATCCAAAATAGTATAAGAAAGTAATTAAAATTTTAAAAACTTTAACCACAGAGTGAATGTGTTGTTTCCTGGCAGAAAATCTAAGGAAAAAATGGATTTTTTTTTTTACAAAATTTACTTCTGGATACTATCTTATGATCATAAACAAGCTTCTGTCCAAGTTTGGTAGAAACCCAGGATAGTTTAAGAAAGTTATTAAAATTTTAAAAACTTTAACCACAGAGTGAATGTAATATTTCCGGGCAGAAAAACTAAGTCCATTTATAAGTAAAATACGGAAAAAATGGAATTTTATTTTTACAAAATTTACTTCTGGATACTATCTTATGATCATAAACATGCTTCTGTCCAAGTTTGGTAGAAATCCAGGATAGTTTAAGAAAGTTATTAAAATTATAAAACTTATAACCACAGAGTGAATATTTGTGGCCGCCGCCGACAACACCGACGGAATGTAGGATCGCTATGTCTCGCTTTTTCGACTAAAGTCGAAGGCTCGACAAAAACAGTATATTAATAACACATACTTGTTAAAGAAACCTATCGGTGCTTCAATTGATCTGTTATATTTTCACAGCTATGTGACATTATAGCTGTGAGAATATAACATTATTTTATAAATACAATCCTGAAAAAGACATAGACTCTTTTTAATTCATTTGTCATAAACTGTTAAAAATATTTACAGCAAAATTATAGTGAAGTGGGAATTACAATAATAGTGTCTCTTAACGATTATGTGCAAAACTTCATTTTTTAATTATATAGATTTATAAGCAAGAAATAAATGGGAAAATATTTTGATAAAATAAATAATGTAATAGCAAACTTTAGAAAATAAATTGTTTTCCAGTACTTATTTATCTTGACACCTCTCTTCAGATTTTTTATACAGAATTATTATTATTAACATTTAAATATAAGATGGATGGATGGCTGTTTAATGTCCAGTGGCAAATTAAATGCATATTCAGGACAAAAACATGCAAGTGCGATGTTAATATGAAAACAGTGCTTTGTACTAGATCGACATGCTAGTCCACAAGAAGACATGTCACCCTCCCTGGACACTTTATTTGGACCAGTCTTTGCTCTTACTCCTAAATGATGAGTGGAGAAGCTGCAAATACCAATTTTCAAGTCTTTGGTTTGACCCAGTTGAGGATTGAATCACGACCTCCAGCACTCAAGGCAAAGAAACTACCATGAGACCACCAAGGCAGTTATAAATACAATAAAGGAACCTTTGTGAACACGCTCACATACCCCAAGCCCCCAAATTGTCACTGTTACAACAAAATCTCACACGATTCCCACGTTTAGACACTAACAACTCAAAAAAAGTCAACTGATAAAAATTTCTTGCTGATATGCACATCTACATATTATGTCCTCATTAACTACAAGTTTCATGAAATTCTGTTGCTCAGTTTCAAAGGAGAAGCAATGACAACTGTTACAGCAGTATAGGCCAAAATTCTAAGTTCAAAGGGGCATAACTCCTAGAAATAAAATGCTCCGCTGGGGGCAGCTTGTTATGACAGCAGAGGTCGAACCCTGAACAGTTGGGGCAAGTATGGACACAACATTCAAGCTTGATACAGCACTGAAGTTGGATTGTGATTAAATATTTGACACTGCATAGGTTTCTGACACAGAATGAATGTGGTCTAAGAACCTAAAATTTGTTAATTTACCTATTCAAACCATATCATTATTATTTGCTTTTATAAAAAATCAGAAATAACCAATTTAAATGGAAAATTTTAAAGAAAAAAAAAGGAAAAAAAAATCCCTCCCCCAAATTTTTTGAACCCCCTTATGATTCATCACCCCCAAACTCAATCCCAGCCTTCCCTTTGAGGTATGGTACCTTGCAGTACAATTTCAGAGAGATCCATACACTTGAACACAAGTTATTGTCTGGAAACTAGAAAAATGCTTGTTTTTAGGCCCCTTTTTGGCCCCAAATTCCTAAATGTTTAAGGCAATTACCCCCAAACTCAAACCCAGCTTTCCCTTTGTGATATGGAACCTTGTAGTACAATTTCATAAAGATCCATACACTTACACACAAGTTATTGTCCTGAAACTAGAAAAATGCTTGTTTTTTACCCCTTTTCTGGCCCCTAATTCCTAAAATTTTGAGGCAATTACCCCCTAAATCAATCCCAGCCTTCGCTTTGTGGTATGGTACCTTGCAGTACAATTTCAGAGAGATCCTTACACTTGAACACAAGTTATTGTCTGGAAACTAGAAAAATGCTTATTTTTTTCCCCTTTTTGGCCCCTTATTCCTAAACGTTTTGGGCAATTACCCCAAAACTCAATTCCAGCTTTCCCTTTGTGATATGGAACCTTGTAGTATAATTTCAGAAAGATCCATACACTTACACACAAGTTATTGTCCTAAAACTAGAAAAATGCTTGTTTTTTGCCCCTTTTTTGGCCCCTAATTCCTAAAATTTTGAGGCACTTACCCCTAAAATCAATCCCAGCATTCCCTTTGTGATATGGAACCTTGTAGTACAATATCAGAGAGATCCATACACTGACACACAAGTTATGTCTGGAAGTTACAAAAATGCTTATTTTTAGCCCCTTTTTGGCCCCTAATTCCTTAGCTGTTGGTACCATAACTCCCAAAATCAATCCCAACCTTCCTTTTGTGGTATTGAACCTTATGGTAAAATTTCATTAAGATCCATTCACTTAAACTAAAGTTAGAGTGCGAAAACCAATGTGTCTTCGGACGACGACGCCAACGTCATACCAATATATGACCACAAAATTTTTTTGCGGTCGTATAAAAAATTGAATCATAATTTCCTGTCGATATGCACATCAACATAGTGTTTCCTCATTAACTAGTTTCATGAAAATCTGTTGTGCAGCTTCAGAGGAGTTGCAATGACAAACTTTTACAGCAGTATCGGCCAAAATTCTAAGTTCAAAGGGGCATCACTCCTAGAAAAAAAAATTGAATCATAATTTCCTGTCAATATGCACATCTACATAGTATGTCCTTACACAAAAGTTTCTGTTGTGTGATTTCAGAGGAGTTGCAATGACAAGAACAGGAATGACTGACGGATGGGTCAAAAACATTATACCCTACATATGGGGTATAATAAGATTTTGATATGAATATGATACAATAATATAGGTCATTAACATGATCTGAGATCCGAAATTCATAAATGTATGTAGTGTTAAAATCTTACCTTAAAAGTCTGCTCCAATTGCCATTTCCAGTCTCAATCCTTACAAACAAACTGAAAGCTAACCTGAAAAATGTTATGTTTAAACATTCAAAATTGTTAAGAAGAACTTCAATTGGTATATCGTATGTATATATAGAAATAGGCTATAAATGACTTCAGTAAAAGGAGATGTGAAGGAAACATCAATTTTACAGCAACCCAAGAACACAAAAGTTTAAAACTTCCATGTAATCAATTGGGTTCTTCACATTTAGTCATATAGATTGCAAAATACAATTAATTTCCCAATAAGCGACAATAGTAGCTCTCTGAGATACAGACTTTAGAAAGTGGATTTTTAGATCGAAACCTTGCTCAGAATTAAACGGCTGGAAAAAATAATCTTGCCTCCATTTTGATAAAAAAAAATGTAATCTAGACTTATTCAGTTGCAAAAAAAAAAATTCTGGCTACATTTTTAGCAAGTATGATATGATTTAAAAAAAAAAATTGTCTTGCTTAAAAATCTGGCTTCATATAAAGTCCTAGGCCACACCCCCAGAAAATCAAATGGTGTGCTTAATAATGATACTTCAGTTTGGGAAAACATGACTTCTTTTTGTGTCTATAGTTTTTATGTTAATTGTTTTTGTGCCTCCTACCGATCTATTGAGTTAAGCCAACTGCAACTTATATTTACAGTTTGTTCTTCTGTTGTGCTGCAACACCATTGTCCCAGGTTAGGGTAGGGTTGAATGCTCACAAACATGTTTTACATCGCCACATTCTTTATGTGCGTGTCCCAAAGTCAGGAGCCTGTAGTTTAGTAGTTGTATTTGGTTCATATCTGTCATATTTGTTTTTCGTAAATTGTTGTTATAAATTAGGCCATTAGTTTCCTCTATTGAATTGATTCACATTTTTTCATGTCAGGCCTTTTACAGCAGACTACGGTATGGGTTTTTCTCATTGTTGAAGCCATTTGGTTGCCTATAATTTATTACATCTATTTCATTTAAACTTTGGTGGATAGTTGTCTCATTGGCAATCATACCACATCTCCTTATATTTATAAAGGTTTATTGTAACCTATAACGATTCTGAGTACATATTTTTTTCAATCCTCAGGTCACACAATTTCTCTAACATATCAATTGTTTCAATAAAGGAATTATAAACCTACTTATATCTTAGCTGTAGTAGGCTACCAAGCCTTACTCCCAATACCATGAAACATGTCCCAGAAATAACCTAAAAGGAATTAAAATTGACACAAATTATAAATTTTTCCAATTTAACTAAACTATCATCCTTAAACTTTATAAAAGTTTTTCTGTTTCTTACTACCCAATCACATAGCATCAGTCCTGTCTGTATAGGAATTTAACAGCTGGAAAAAGGTTTGATTTTAATTCCAACTGCACACAAATTATCTGAGTAATCTCCCATTGAATGAAACATTATTGTTTGTTTGTTGTTCTTGTCTCCCCTTAATGATAAAAATAATTTGATATAATTTTTTTCATATACCTCGTAACTTATAAAATATATGAAAATGGTAAATGCACTCATTATTGGTGTTATGAATGAGAAAGATAAAAATATTTAGTGTTTTTCGTCTTGTGTACTTTAAGGTACATGTTGATTTCTATAGAATCTATAAAAACTATGGCTTAAATAAACTTGTCCGATTTCATTGGTTGAAGATCTATTTAACCATCTTCCTTGGAGCTGCTATTGATTCCTTACTGCTTTTAAGTGTTTTTCAACATTGGTTTTTATGCTATCAAAATCCACTGTCCGCTTCTGCTTCATTCACAATACTGAATAATATAGTTTATCACAAAAATGTTTATTTCTTTTCTCACAATAATTTCTTTTTTCCGATCATGATGATTTACTAGATTATTATAACATAATGTATTAAGTACCAGCTAATGTGTGTTAAAACATATCCAATATTTTGAAAAAAAGTTGGTTGTAACCCACAATTTCTTCTATGCTTTAAAACTATTATCTAGATTTCTGCTTAGTGATTTTTATTTACAAAGCTCTATATAATAGCAATAGACTAGTAAGCAGATATCTGATATATAAATACTTATACACACATAATAAGACATATTAATTAAAAAAAGTCTAGTTATTGCCTACACTGAAGGAACTTCTAGTATGAGGAGTTAAACAGGGGTATTACCTCCCCTTGACCTTAATTTCAGCTTGTTATGACTCCACAGCCATCACATCACCATCAACACAGTACCAGTAGTGATAGGCTTTTGTATGATACATTTAGTCAGTAACATGTTGGTGATGGTATGAAATTAAAAATTAAAAATCAATTAATCTTGTTGACAGTCTGTTTCTAAATGTATCCTTAATTTTCAAGACTAGCACAGCAAAATTGAATTGTTTAAAATAAATCAACCATTTCTTAAATTTGGAAGCATAGTTAAATACAATTATACCTCTTCCTTTCAGTCGTACTAACATTGATTGATAAATACTGCATTTAGACATGAATTTGTGCTGAATACTCATGGTATAGTCATGAATAAATTGTGTCTTCTACAAATATAGAGATAAAGAGTCAATAAAATTGAAATTAAAGTCATATCAAAAATCAACATTATAAAGTATTTTGCAATATTAAAAAGACTTGTATTGGTTTGGATTCCAAGGAGGAAATTATTCATGTTCTGATACAAATATGCTTTCTTTTTATAAAAGATCAAATACAAAATGAATTCAAAACTAACGAATTTCATATTCTAAATTTCAACAAACTTAAGATGGTTCATATGGTAATTAAACACATTTCCTGATTGTTGTGGTTAACTTATTTGCATGATGAGCAAGTTATCTCCCTTACTACATAGTAATGATTAACAGCAGTCCAAGTTACTTAAACAAAAATAATCAAATGAATGGAGAATTTGTCCATGGGACAAAGATGATGACCCCATTTGCATATAATGTTATAGGGGACATAACTAGAGAACTGTAACAGTGACACCACCCAAAATCAAACTTGATCTGTTTTTTGTGGTTATATGCATTGTGTATTAGTTTCATAACATTTGGATGAAACCAATTTTGGGATGTACGGACGGACGGACTGACGGACGGACAGGGGTAAAACAGGGGGCCTCTGCTATGGCAGGGGCATAAAAACTATTTCTTTAAAAATGTATGAAATTTTCCAGACATAAAATAAAGTTTGGTTGCAAGTATGTCTGAAGCAAAAACAATACTGTGGATTCACTTTTGTTTTAGTGTACTTAGTTTTACAGATTTTGTAGATATAGGTGAAATATGAATTTAACAAAATAAAAATTGCCTTTTTGTTTTTGTTTTTTTTTTGTATGCAGAATTTGTCAAAATTATGAAATATGAAATCAAGAATCTTGGAAATTCTAACAGCTTTTGATTGACTTATTATCTCTTATCATGATTGTCTCTCTTGCAAAGTATTCAAAATCTGAAATCAACATTTTCACGTAGATTTAACAAAATTATGTTTTAAAGATAGTGCAATTTGGATAAGTGTTCAAAATTGTGTAATGCACACATAAATCATGCAAGTTGGTACCAATGAGAATGGAAATATCTAAAATAAGTGGTTTTGAACTTCATATATTACAACAAAATATAATGTGAAAATTAACACAAAGAATAAAACTGAAACCTTGATGACTTATCTCCTGTGAACTAGTATTAATTATTGCCCTCCATCCCCCTCCCCCAATAAAAAGAAAAAAGAAATAATTTACTTTAAACTTTGGATTAGTAGTTAATTTAAGAGTAGAATCTATTACAACTTCTAAAGCAAAAATAATTAAAAAAAAAACATAAATCAACCAAAATGGTTTAGCATTAAACATGGATTTCCTTAAAAATAATTAATTTCAAATATGACAAAAAAGTACTAGTGACATTGCCTAAAAATCTGTAAACAAATAAGAAGATAGATTGCCAGTATGAAAATTTATGCATCAAATATAAACCTTTAACTTGGCAATTGGAGGAAATGTTGAAAACAAAGTGAAACTTTAAAATTTCAAGCCTTACTTTTTTAATCAAAAAATTTAACTGTTTAAAGTGGAGAAATGTCATCTCACATTCGAATCAAAGGTAGAATCTACATTTCTTCAAATTTTGAATTTTAAACCTGTGGGATTTTTTAAGAATGGTTAACAGCAGTCCAAGTTACTTAAACAAAAATAATCAAATGAATGGAGAATTTGTCCATGGGACAAAGATGATGCCCCCATTTGCATTTGAGAATTCCATTCTCAATTTTTATGTTACATTTTCAACATTCACAATGTTAAATGGTTTAAGGAACTATTTACAATGAGAATCATACACAAGTTTAATTTTAAAATAATACCCAAATAAACGCTTCATCTTATGTATGGAGAAAATATATATGACAGCCTAGTATCGAAGGTCAAGATTGAAAATTAAGTTTTGAAATAATATTCCTGTGTGAATCATAAAGATTACTGGAAGATGATAGTTTCAGATGACTGAATGAAAGTATTGAAAATTATAGATATAATCATTTTTTTTCATTTTGGTGGAAACAATTGAAAATATGTGAAGTACTCAGATCATTCACATTAGACTTAATAAATATTATTTTTACTGCTGGTCTTCCTTCGTAGCTATCTTGGCTTTTCAGAACCAGATAAAAAGTCAATGTTAATATATACCTTTTGGATTTTTTCAACTTGTGCTTAAATTTAACTTAATATTTGGAATGCATTTTTAAATTTTTTTTTGGATTTACCATGCATCATAATGTGTCAAATATAATTAGATGTCGATTTAAAATGTTTTTTAACTTCATTTTGAAAATTAAACAAAATTGAAAGCTTAATACCCTAATATTGGTCTTTTCGATCTCAATCACTATCAATATCAAATGTATATCATTTCAGAATTACATTAAAAGATCCCTTTGAATAACACACACCATATCCTAAATACATAGAAACCACTGAACCATCCATAGAACAAAAGCAAGAAACGGACAATAAAACCTGACCAGTCAGAACTAGCTCAAAAAACAACTATGTTCAATGTTAGTAAAGACGCAGCACTTGAAGCGCAATGTATTTCTGAAATGATCATTTGATATTTGTTCAGTCTATAGCAAACTTTTTTCAGATCAAGATTGACATTCTGTAACAAAATTCTACTTTTAACCATTAGTTTAAATCAATTTCAATACAAAGTTTATGTTCTACAATCTGACAATCATGATGCATTGAATACCAAAAATGGAAAAAATAGGAAAGTATTTTCCTTATGTAAATTTGAAATTTAAAATAAAAATATTCCATGACCTTTTTTTGCAAACCCATTTTCACTTACATTAGAACTGATAGAGCTAACCAAACATATCTCTATATACAATACATATACATTGCCTACATTTCTTCAGGTCTTTCTGACATTCTCTTGGTTCTTCTGTCATCCATGGTATAATTGGAAATAAAAGAAAGTCACTATTATTCAGAATCTACACAAATCACAACATTTTTATACACAATTTTTTTTAACATTTTCTTATTGTTGAAGGACTTGTCTGTGAACTTGATTATGAAGAACAGCAATAAAATAAAAGGGTTTCTTTGTTGTATACCAAGTATATTTGACATTTTCCCTCTCTTTTTTTTTTTCAATTTTTCTGCTTCTTCAACAGGGACGTCAGAAAGAAACAATCAATTAAACAATCTACTTCAGCGGGTAATACCCATCCTCACACTTCTACCAGTGAGCGTATCTTTTTTTCGTTTGGCTGCATCATAATTCCATGTGGACTGCTTCCAAAAAATAAAACCAGATAATCTCCAGAAAACTTCAGCATGACATCTCAACGTCCCCTTCTACAGGCATAGGCAGGAAGCCTGTAGCGGTCGTAGATCACTAGTGAACATCTTTGCCGCCAGTCCTCGCGAGTCAGCGATGGAGGCCATCTCAACATCGATGACTGTCGTCCCGTTTGGAGGTAACCAGCTAATTAAAGGAAACGCCACAAACAGCAAAATTACTTAATATTACTTACACTGCCTACATTTCTTCAGGTCTTTCTTACTGTCTCCTGGTTCTTCTGCCATCCTTGGTATAATTGGAAATAAAAGAAAGTCATTATTATTCAGAATCTACACAAATCACAACATTTTTATACACAATTTTTTTTAAACATTTTCTTATTGTTGAAGGACTTGTCTGTGAACTTGATTATGAAGAACAGCAATAAAATAAAAGGGTTTCTTTGTTGTATACCAAGTATATTTGACATTTTCCCTCTCTTTTTTTTTTCAATTTTTCTGCTTCTTCAACAGGGACGTCAGAAAGAAACAATCAATTAAACAATCTACTTCAGCGGGTAATACCCATCCTCACACTTCTACCAGTGAGCGTATCTTTTTTTCGTTTGGCTGCATCATAATTCCTTGTGGACTGCTTCCAAAAAATAAAACCAGATAATCTCCAGAAAACTTCAGCATGACATCTCAATGTCCCCTTCTACAGGCATAGGCAGGAAGCCTGTAGCGGTCGTAGATCACTAGCGAACATCTTTGCCGCCAGTCCTCGCGAGTCAGCGACGGAGGCCATCTCAACATCGATGACTGTCGTCCCGTTTGGAGGTAACCAGCTAATTAAAGGAAACGCCACAAACAGCAAAATTACTTAATATTACTTACACTGCCTACATTTCTTCAGGTCTTTCTTACTGTCTCCTGGTTCTTCTGCCATCCTTGGTATAATTGGAAATAAAAGAAAAGTCATTAT